GATACAAGCGGCCGAAATGAGTTTCCTCCATAAGAAACTCTCTCTATGAGCTCTCCCTTGGAGATAGGGTGAGAAGCTCAGTCATCCGGGAGGGACTCAGAGTAGAGCCGCTGCTCCTCCACGTCGAGAGGAGCCAGTTGAGGTGGCTCAGACATCTGGTTAGGATGCCTCCTGGACGCCTCCCTGGTGAGGTGTTCCGGGCACGTCCCACTGGGAGGAGGCCCAGAGGAAGACCCAGGACACGCTGGAGGGACTATGTTTCTCAGCTGGCCTGGGAACGCCTTGGGATTCCCCCAGATGAGCTGGGCCAAGTGGCTGGAGAGAGGGAAGTCTGGGTCTCTCTGCTTAGGCTGCAGCCCCCGCGACCCGACCCCGGATAAGCGGAAGAAAACGGACGAACGGACGGACAGCAGTAGTAGCAGTAAGTAGTAGTAAGTAGTAGCAGTAGTATTTATGACAGGTAAGAAAGAATAAATATACTTTATTACTAGTCAACATCTTAATGTTTCAACTAACTAAAAAGTCTACGTTACTGACTGACTTCAGGTCTGATTTAGATCATTATTACTTACAAATTCTATATTTTCTTGTATATATCCATCTAGATGTTTTACATGATTAAAAAATGAAATTAACATAATTAGATAAGTTCATTGTAAAATTATTAGATCATTTGTGACACAGATCTAGTTGGACTTGCTGTTAATCTAATAGCTGCTATGAAGGCTGTATGGACGCCATTTTTGCTCCTCCATGTTGTCACACATGCTAACAGTGGAGGGGACAGGTGGGGTTCTCTCTAGTGTTATTCAACTATGTCATTTAAATCAGTGGACTCTCTTCTGCTGTTGATTCGATGGGTTGAATCCTAAATAAACAGCTGTAAAGATTTCTTGTCAAAAATACCTGCCCTGGTAGAAAAATATCTTCCACCACAAACTGTGATTAGTCAACCGAAAGCAGATAAAAACCTCACACAGCGAGATGTTTTAACTCAACCAGTGCTGACTTGACTTGAAGTTTGTCCTTTTTTCAGAAACTAGTACATCGCTTTACTTACATTTAATACAAGCTGGGCTTCCCAGAAAAAAACAGGGAACAAAACAAGCATAAGAAAAAGGAGGAAGTCTGAGACCCAGCTGCCTGAGGCTCCCATGATGTCATGAGAGGAGACTCAACAAATAACAACAGCACTCACTCACACACACTTTAACAGATAAAACACACACAACTGGAACATGACATCCCAGCTGGTGCAGCAGGAATGCACAGCCAGCATGGACTGATTTATACACACACCCACACACGCGTAGATGAATGAATCGGCACATGCAGCAGCGATAACTTTTTACCAGAGAAGAGGCAGACAGCGACGCCGCACGCAATATGAAAGGTCTTGCTCTTGTCCAGCAGTCTGCGTGTCTTTTTGGATGATACCTGAGCAAGAGAGTAGCACAGAATTATCAATGTGACTGCAAAAGATACAACTTTTACTGAACCACTTTGTTCTTTACAGATTCCAGCAAAAGTTGAAACATTTAATCTTACAAAAACCCTTTTTCTTCCTCAACAAAAAGCCCCTTGAGGTTGGAGTTCATGAATGTTCTGCTTCATTAGATTACCCCCACACTCACCATCCTGTGATCCCCTCACCCCTCTGTGTTTGCCTCACCATGTGTGTGCCTCGTATGAAGGTGAGCAGAGAGCGGCACATGGGCAGCAGCACCAAACTGCAGTTCAGGTTCAGCACCGAGGCGGACGCTCTGCTGACGCACAGTCCGAGCTGAGAAAAGACAACAAGACAAAACAAAACCGCCCCATGTTAGACGGGCTGTCACGGGAGGGGGAACCGATTAAGACCCTCACTTCAGAGGCTTTTCTCTTCAGGTCTGAATAATTCAGTCAAAGCCAGCTGAGAGCTTGGCATGACTTCACCCCAGAAACTACTCGTGTCTTTCTCAGTGCGTTCGTTCACAGGACGTCACTCGTTGGACTCGATGGCATTAATTACGAGTCGATTCTTTCTGGCATGTTCTTGGTAACAGCTGTGGAGATTTAAATTCAAAATGTCTTAACGAAAACATGAAAACTACTAAATTTAAAAAGGAGAAAGAAAATGCAGGCAAACCTAAATACACATCAGACCTGAACGCACAGATTTTAAAATGAATCAATAATAGTTAAGTTTTAGTGTCAAACTTAAGTCCCGCAGGCCAAATGTGGCCCAACACTGCATTTTTCGAGGCCCGTGAGAGCTTCAAAGGTGTTTAACGTCTGAAAATAAGCTGCTTTCAAGCCAGCAATGACCATAAATTACATCTCTCATAATAAACGTTGATTATTTTACACACAACATGACAGCATGCAACCGCTATGTGGAGGGTTCAAAATTCACTGTGTAAAATTCTCCATTTCACTACATTTTTGCAGGCTATTTTTCTTGTGGCCCAGTTGTACTGGGAAGTGGGAATTTCCTACTTACAAATGTAAATTTAAACTGGAATGCCGGAGTGGGAATTCCCTGTCGAAAAGTGGAAGAGTTCAGAATTCAAGACGGCAGCCACTCGCCGCAACTCAGCAGAGAGTAAACACTCTTACTTTGACTTTTAATAGCATTTCTGTGTTATTTATGTTACATTTTGTCAGTCATACACAGTTGTTTTCAGTGTTTCTAAGAGTACGTGTTAAAATGTTGTTTCTATGCAGGAAATACCACGTAGAGCTCAATTATTGTTTGATAGTGGTGTTCAGCCGTAGCAACGAGACGAGGAACGTGACGTTTCTTGTTTAGCTGAAGTTAAACACGAAACTTCAAAGTTAATTATGAGTTAGACAACCCTGTTCTAGCAGGAGAACACGCTGCGGAAACATGTTGAAGCCCAGATTACCTGAAGTACAGTAATCTGGGAACAATGTAAGGCAGATTTTCTGGTTTTATAAAACTTAACTCAAACAATGGAGCGTAGTTTGGCATCTCAGAAACTCAGGGTGAGCAAACTCTTTCCAGGAAGAACTGTGCCATGCAGATTCTGTCACTTCTCATTTTTTTTAAAACCACTAAAGACAGTGTGTGTGTGTGTGGGGGGGGGCATTTCTGGTGAAATTTGGGGGCAATTTTAAGACAAAATGCCTACCTTTGGGGACAACTGGTGCGTTTGAGGACAAAAGTCGAGTCCCCATTTGGTTTAAATGCCATTGGTGGGTTGGGGGTTGGGTTTAGGACCAAGGTGTGAATTGAGTTTAGGTTAGTTTTAGGGTCAGGTAAGTTTCTGTGAGGTTAATTTTAGAGTATATGGTCAGGGTTAGGCTATAAAGTCTAAAAAACATGAATGGAAGTCAATGGAAGGTCCCCACGGGGTCGAGAAACAAACGTGTGTGTGTTAGGGTTTGACGCAAAATACGAGCTAAATGATCTACAACTGGACGAGCAGCAGTTAGTCAGTCCAGCTCAGTGCCAATCCACCCACTGTTCATCAGGACATAAGAGCTCAGCTGGCTGCACAGCTGACCGAAGTGCTGAAACGTAAGAATGAAGCAGAGATCAGGCCGAAGCTCCAATCCAAATATAGCCAGTTAAGTCGGAAGCCTTAACGTTTAAAAACTTCCTCCTGGCTTCCAACACAGCTTCTTAAAGAACAGCAGCTGAAGGCAGAAACCACAAGACGGAGATCTGATATCCTGCTTTCTTTGCACACACACACACACACACACACACACACACACACACACACACACACACACACACACACACACAAACAGGTGAATGAGATAAGCTATTTGAAGCATTCATGCTTTGAAACACATCTCTCATGCACACATAAAGACAGACACTCATAAACTTCAGCCCTCTGGTGAGGCGTTCAGTGGAACCAGCGGCGTGCCCACACTTGCCCCTTTTCTCCCCTTTCTGCCTCCCACAGAACAGGCAGTGCAACAGTTCACACACGCTGTTCGCTGCCACTTCCCATTGTTTCATGCAACTCTGACGGCACGTGTTTTTCTTCTGGTGCACTGCTGTACGGCATGGATGAAGGTTTTTTTTTTTTAAGACGTCACTTACAAATGCTGCTCGTTGTACTTGTTGCTATTGATCCTGTAAAATTTTTAGATTAATTGTCTTTGTTCTGGATTCAACATTAGGCCATTTTAGGTACATGTGAACATTAAAGGTATTAATGTACCCCTATACCATCAGCGTGGTCTGATAACAGGCTGGTTAGTGCATTTTAAATGAGCGCTGGTCCAGGGAGGTGGCTTTCACATACGCCTTCTCTGTTGCGTGATAGAGCTTTAACCAGTGGTCATGGACGTTACAGTGATCTGTGTTTACAGGCAGTCAGGTAAAAATGTTCCTGAGCCCAGTTATGTCCAGTTCAGAATACACCGGTGTTGATTCTCAGTCATCCAGGAGGTGATGAATTAGAAAAAAATTTAAAGGGATCCCTGATTAGTTGTAACATTAGACTTTATTTGATAAACATATATTTTAACTGTAAAATAAAGACTGTAAAAATGCTGTAGGCTGTTTAGTTTTGTACATTTTTAAAAATATATTTTAACATGGATGGAGCCATTTTATTTATATGCAAAGCATTCTGGGTAAATGATGACGTGGGTAGGTCATCGGTGTGAGTGAGCTATATCCACCCTGAAGGTTAATTTTGGACAATATCTGATGATCAACTCTTTTAAATGAAACCAGAGAGCYTTGACAGAGAGGAGAAGGTAGAAATGACTCAGCCTGTAACTGAAAATATGGATGGAGGACAACAGAGCTGCTTCATGGAAGAAGAACTTCAGCTTAGCCTGTTAGCCTTCGTGCTAGCACTGATGTTATATTGCCTTATATATATATTAGCTAGGTGCTAGTGCAACAAACAAGCTYKWCTGTTGTCCTCCATCCATATTTTCAGTTKCAGYCTGAGTCATTTCTACCTTCTCCTCTCTGTCAACGCTCTCTGGTTTCATTTAAAAGAGTCGATCATCAGATATTGTCCAAGATTAACCTCCAGGGTGGATATAGCTCACTAGCAGCCTCACACCAATGACCTAGTTGACATCATCATTTACCCAGAATGCTTTGTGTGTAAATAAAATGGTCCCGTCTATTAAACATCCTACAGTATTTTTACAGTCTTTAGTTTACAGTTAAAATATATGTTTATTAAATAAAGTCTAATGTTACAACTAATCATGGATCCCTTTAAAACAAATTTAGTCCATAGGTTGATGATCAATTTGCAATTGTGTCTGTCAATGGAGGCCATGTTTGTTTTATGTGCTGTGTTAAAGACAAAGTCCATCAGTCCGTCCATCCGTCCGTCCGACTGACCTATCTACCTACCAAGTCCCCACTCAAATGGCTTCTTTAGATGAGAAGTGAAATGTCTTCTGCCGCAGAACAGAAGTCCAGTTGTTGTTGTTTTTAACAGTTTTTTGGCTCCAGAACAGAATCAGATCTGTTTTTAATACAGTGCTACCTGAGGGCCTACAGGTCACGGGCATCCAATATTGACTTTCAGCCTTGTTCTTTGAGCTCAGAGAGATTTCTCTGGATTCTTCAAATCTTTTGATGAGATTACCTGTAAATGATGGGCATTCAAAGTCTTCCCAATTTGACATCAAAGAACAAATTATTAGACACCGTTTTTCACAGACTGGTTGTCCCTCTGCCCAGCGTTACTTCACTCTCAGCCTCTCTTTTTAAACTCAGTCCTCTCACTGACCTGTTGCCAATAAACATATTTAATTGTAGTTTGCTCCTTCAACTGTTTCTTATTTGTACCACTTAACAGCCTTTTGTTGTCCCTTCCCTGTCTTTTTTTTTTTTTACATTTGCTGCTGTCATCGGATTCAAAATGGTCTCATTTAACAAAAAAGCACAATTTCGCAGCTTAAACATTTGATATTAATTACGTTTCATTGCAAATAAAAAAGAGTGTGAGGTTTGCATTCAGCTTCTTTTATTACACATCACAACTGTTTCATAATTTGAGTTGTGTTAATCATTGCAGTTAGAGTTAAACACCTGACAGTAAGTATAATGCTGAGATGTATTTTAGTGTTTTTTGTGTGCTGATGAAGAACAGCAGGCTCATACCATCTGAACAATGAATTTTGTTCCCTAAGCACAATGAGCATTTTCATTTTCTCACGCACGCTTTCAGAAACCCACACAGCCGCTTCAGCAAAAAAATAAAACCTGTGACAAAAATCCTACCAAATGAGTCAGCAAGCCTCATAACCTGATCCTGACTCTGTTTGTGTGTCCCAGAGCCGGACACAAAATTTATAGTCTGCGCGGAACATGCTTAATTGTAAAGTTAAAAACTTATTCTTGGAAATATTTCACAACCAAAACTTGCAAAAACACAAAAGAAAAAGCAGCAAATAATGACAGATGAAGTCGCTTAAGTGGTGAGGTAAGAGCTTTAGATGCTTTTTTAGACACTTTCTGCAAACTTGGATGCACCAGTTTACAAATTAGTAGAATGTCTCCAAATATGATGCAGATGTTGCGTTTTGCACTTACATTTGAAACTAATTAGGATAAAAATGAGTTATGGTGTGTATATTTTCATGACACACAATCTGGTTTATGGTAACATGAAAAAAAACACAGTGTTCCTCACCCCGAGCATGTTGTAGAGGTAGTGGTACTGCTGTCCTGTGGAGTACAGCAGGTAGGTGCGCAGAAAGAGCCAGGTGTTGGCTCCCAGCCACAGCATCTGCACCCCATGGACAAAACACCCAGTCAGAACTTCTACATCTTCACTGTCACAGAAAGTATCATAAAGATAAACTGTCTCTGAAGACTTTAAACCTTATAGCTCATTCAATAACTGCTGAAAATGGCTGTAAAATGCAGGATCTAAAACATTTGATGTATGAGCAAATTTTCCCCTCAAATTACATGCAAAAACTTTGTAAACATCCCTAAAAAGTAAAGTACTGGCAGATAAAAACAGATGTTAGGAGCTAAAGAGTTAGGTTTTAAAAGTTTTCTGGCAAAGTTCCCCCACCAGGACCAAGTGCTTCCCTCCCTCGTTGGCGACCCAGCTCCGCAACGCCACAGCCATGGTGCGTTCAGGGACCCCGCTGCTGCCCGCTGCCCGACGCTCCCACACACAGCTCCCGGTCCGGCCGAGGAAATGAAGAGGCGTCCTCCCAGCTGCTGTCTGTCCGGCCGGCCGGCGTCCGTCTTCCCGGTACTCCTCCTCCTCTCTGCTCCGTGCAGGTTTGGACTTTTCATCCCCCCTCCTCCTCCCTCCACCTTCACCTCCTCAACAACTCCGAACAGCTCAGATAATTTATCTTCACTCGACTACTTCCGGTTTGACCTTCTGCACAGCTGGCATGTGCTTAAACAAGAGGCGACCTAAAACAATTAAAAGGTAACATTATTTTCATGCACAGGCTAAAAATATTACACAGAGAGAACAATGAGCTTCACTGAGCTGCATCTTCTGTTGCTGCCGCTAGAGGGAGCCAGAGGCCAACATGTGCAGGAGAAGGCTGCTAAATTTAATTAGAGCGTACAAAAAAGAAATACTGTTTATTGCCATTGCAGTTCAGGTTAAAAGAGCAGATTAGGCAATGGCAAAGGTAATAATAAAAATGAAGTAAAAAAAAAAAAAGCAAATGAAAAAAATCTTAAAGTTGCTCATTGCAAACTGTAAAATAAAACATAAAAAAGGTTATCCTGAATTATACCAGTATAATGGTAAACTACTTAGGAGATGTTTTTTTATAAACTAGACGGAACTCACGTTTCAGAAAGTATATTGCAAAATAATGTGTTTGACACTGAATTTAAACTATTAATGTTTGCACAATCGTAGTTTTAAACTAATCATGGATATTACTTTTATTAACTGATGACCATATTTAGCTTTGTTCAACAAAAATCAGAGTCAGGTTTATTGGCCAAGTATGTTGACAATGAATTTGTTTCCGGCTGTTCGTGTCTTTCTAGTATTAACAATATACAAGATACTTTAATTTACACACAATACATAATATAGAGAAAGATACACATTATACGAAGACAAATCAGCACAAAAGCCTAAACTAAACTAATAATAAACCACTATATTGGTTGGGCAAAATCGTATTGTGTGCAATTAATCGTCACCAAAACTTTAATGGATTATTTTTTGGCACTTGACGAGAATTAATACAGTACAATACACGAGCATTTCTACCAGACTAATACAATTAATGCCGCCAAGCAGACTGACTGGAGATTTCCTGTCAGTCCACTCGATACTCTTCTCTGCTTCAACTGTAACAAACATTTTTTTTAAAGTTGTGCAATAAATTTATCATAACTCTGGTTTTACTTGGTCTATCAACACAATTTAAAAATTGATGTACAGTATAGCCTGATGTCTGTACTTTTTGGCACAATTTGGAACAGATTTTTACAAGAAAAAAAAAGAGAGTGCCATGTGACTAGGGCATACAAGCGTGCAGTAACTCCAGGGAATTAATCGTCATATTAATCGTTATTGGCTAAATACCACAATTAATCATGATAAATTTTTTGTAAATATCGCCCAACCCTGTATGTACTTGTGAACAGTCAAGTAAGAAATAAAAACAGCATAATGCAAACTGTGTTAAAAGCTACATGTGAATCACGAGATCTTTAAACTGATTTTTGTCAGACCTTCTGACTGAAAGTGTGATCAAAGTAGTTCACAAATTGAAAAGCAAATATCAGTTCAGGCACTGTCTGTCTGGTATATTTTTCAGATGGCTGAATGTGTTAGAAAACTCTAAGCCAAATGACTGGACACACTGTAGAAACATGAAATAATAGATGTGTTTTTTCTTCCACCTCCTCCCCAGCTGTAGGAGGGAAAGAATATTCAGACTCTGATGAAACCACTTGGGACTCTCTCTTGTTTCAAGCCCAGATCCATGATGGGTTTTCCAGTGTGCTGTGGAAGAACTTGGCTGGTCCTGACCTCAGCAGTCATGTTTGGGTCACAGCTGAACACAGAGACTCCGTCTTGTACCCCAGTAATACTTGGAATATGTGTAGTATTGGATTTTTGCTCAGCACCTACAAATTAGACAGGCAGCCATCTTGAATTGGGTTGACTCCAAAAGTTAACTAGTTGTTGATGTTCAACTAATGATTAATTTCTGAAGGAGTCAAGATTCGTCCACTGGGGGATGATACATTTTCTAATAGACACACATACAGCGAGTAAAATAAGTATTGAACACGTCACCATTTTTCTCAGTAAATATATTACTAGAGGTACTAATGACATGAAACTTTCACCAGATGTTGGTAACAACCCAAGTGATCCATACATACAAAGAAATCAAACCATAAATGTCCAGAAATGAAGTTATTTGTAATAATATGGAATGGCACAGGGAAAAAGTATTGAACACACTTACTGAAATTTATCTAATACTTTGTACAAAAGCCTTTGTTGTCAATGACAGCTTCAAGACACCTCCTGTATGGAGAAATTAGTGGCATGCATTGCTCAGGTGTGATTTTGGCCCATTCTTCCACACAAACAGTCTTCAAATCTTGAAGGTTTCGTGGACCTCTTCTATGAACTCTGATCTTTAGTTCTTTCCATAGATTTTCTGTTGGATTCAGGTCAGGTGATTGGCTGGGCCATTCCAGCAGCTTTAGTTTCTTTCTCTGAAACCAACTGAGAGTTTCCTTGACTTTGTGTTTGGGGTCATTGTCTTGCTGAAACGTCCAGCCACGTTTCATCTTCATCATCCTGGTAGATGGAAGCAGATTTTTATCAAGAATGTCTCTGTACATTTTTCAATTCATCCTTCCTTCAATTATTTGAAGTTTGCCAGTACCATATGCTGAAAAACAGCCCCACACCATGATGGTCCCACCTCCAAACTTCACTGTTGGTATGGTGTTTTTGGGCTGATGTGCAGTGCCATTTGACCTCCAAACATGATGTGTATTCTGGCATCCAAACAGTTCAATGTTGGTCTCATCTGACCAGACTATATTCTCCCAGTATTACACAGGCTTGTCTAAATGTTGTGCAGCAAACTTTAAAGGAGCTTCAACATGCTGTTTCTTCAGCAGTGGAGTCTTGCGTGGTGAGCGTGCATACCGGCCATGGTGGTTCAGTGCATTACTTATTGTTTTCTTTGAAACAAWCGTACCTGCTAATTCCAGGTCTTTCTGAAGCTCTCCACAAGTGGTCCTTGGCTCTTGGACAACTCTTCTGATAATTKTTTTCACTCCTCTGTCAGAAATCTTGTGAGGAGCACCTGGTCGTGGTCGGTTTATGGTGAAATAATGTTCTTTCCACTTCTGAATTATGGCCCCAACAGTGCTCACTGGAACCTTCAGACGTTTAGACCTTCTTCTGTAACCGATGCCATCATTATGCTTTGCAACAATAAGGTTGTGAAGGTCTTGAGAGAGCTCTTTACTTTTACCCATCATCAGATGGTTCTTGTGTGATACCTGGCCATCATTTGGGACTGAACCAGCTGATATTAACTTGCACTGACAAGGGGCAGGCTTGCTTTCTAATTACTGAGAGAGTTCAGCTGGTGTCTTGGCTTTCCATGCCTTTTTACACCTCCCTTTCTTCATGTGTTCAATACTTTTTCCCTGTGCCATTCCACATTATTACAAATAACTTCATTTCTGGACATTTATGGTTTGATTTCTTTGTATGTATGGATCACTTGGGTTGTTACCGACATCTGGTGAAAATTTCATGTCATTAGCACCTCTAGTAATATGTTTACTGAGAAAAATGGTGACGTGTTCAATACTTATTTTACTCGCTGTACAAGTAAAAACATTATCACCTATTTGTAAAGAGGCTGTACAAGGAAAGAGTCCATGTTTACACTCATGTTGCATTTCATTTAAGACACTTTTTTGATAAAAATGTAGTTTATATGTTAAGTGAGAAGTCTTGACCATAACCTCAGAGTACATCAAGAGGATGCTGTGTTACGTTTAAATGCTCATAAACACACACACACACACACACATACAGCTGCTGTGCCCTCACACACACCAGAAAAATAATAAAAAAATAAAAATATTTGAGAATGGTTAATGATGTCAGAATTACTTTACACCTCAAACAACTACAACTAACCTCTCCTCAGCTGCTCATTCAGTTAAACCTCAGTGGAAAAGCATGTTGCTGTGACTTGTGTAAACACAAGTCCCTACATTCCTGAACCCCCCACTGATTCACGCTGCAGCCCATCTCATGAGAGCTCAGTCCTCATCACACAGCTGCTCTGAGAGCTGGGAGGGGCCGGGGAACAACTGAAGGCCTGCGTGTGATGTGGGAAAACACATCTGACTAGAACTCTGCAGGAGAAACTTTTACCTCCACAGAGACAGAATCAAGTAGAAAGTTAAAGGGATAGCCTGATCATTTTTAAAGGGGTGTTCTGTTTAATATTAATCAGCTGAGAGGTCAGTCATAGAGCTACTGTAGTATGGAGGAAGACATTTGCAATGTCTTCCTCCCGGCAAGGCTAAAAGCTAACTAAATGAGGAGCCCTTCTTTATGACTTTTTAAGGCTTTTAAAATGTCTCTTGATTCATGACAGTTGTTTAGTTTGTCGTCGCTCTCTCAGTTAAACATTGCCCTCGAATATCTCCTGAACCACTGAGGAAATCTTAATAAATCTTCAAGAAAGTAATCCACATGTCTACAAGTGATTTATTTAAGCTCAGTCCAATCCAAGATGGCTGCTACAGCTAATCAACGTTAGCCAACACAAAACGCTCTATAACCAAGCTGTGTTTTTCAGAAGCTGAGCTAAACTTTAAAGTGGTAGTTTAGCTGAGAGTCTCACAACACATCAAGCTCTGAGTCTTTGCGTTATGGTTCCTTGTTCTTAGGTTTCTATATTTGAGGTTTTCGTGTTTCTCATTTCTACTTCAGCTTCGATCGTTTCATTTGTCAGATTTTGTTTTAGCTTCTCACACCTGTTGTCTTTCTTAATCAGCTCAGCTGCCTGTACATCAGTCAGTTTCTGTCCACCTACACATCATCGAGTTACATTTCTGTCCTCGCCACCGTGTTCTTGTCGTTTGGTCTTCCCTCCTGATGGTCCTGCCTCCTTCGTACCTTTTACTGCACCATCAGCTTTTTGTTTTCTAAAGTATTTGTAAGTGTGCTTTGTCGTCTTTGTGAGTCTGTGCTCTGGTCCAAATTTGCCACCGAAACCTTACTCTGAGATCAACATTATTATTCAGATTTGATCAGAAACAGCTACAACTCTGTCATTTATTAAAAAGATCTTTTGATTTTTAACAACTGACATGAACGATGGTGGGTGATATGCATTTCTTCAAGAAATAAAAGGTCTTTGTTTTTTTCAAATGAAAGGAATTTGTGCTTATATTCAAAGTTTTATAGCTGTAAACTTGTGACCATTTTTTGTACTTTATTTAGAATAAACATGTGAGCTGAAGGAGCTTGTGTTAATCATGTTTAGCTCTTTTTGAACTCTTCGTCTTTTGCACCAGATGAAAATTTCAGCTGGTGTTTTCTTTAAGGAAACCCTCCTCTGCCCTCATAATGACAAATCCTGAGTCAGCACATTATTGGCTAAGGTGCACAACACAACAGTCAGTGTCCTGGCTCTAATGATCAGCTCCCTCCTCCAGTGTTGTCCTCACCTCCCTCCCTCCCTCTTTCTCTCTATCTCACCCCATCTCACTCTCCTGTTCTTCCCACAGAACACTAGTAAAACAAATTGCTCCTTATCTGTGGCTCTGCAGAGCACGCCTGCAGTGTGTTGGACAACTGGGAGCTGCAGGAAAATGAGGAAGGAGGGCAGGCTGGTTCGTTGGGTCTGGTGGATCGTGGTTGTGACAGCTTTGTTCTTCTTAGGCTTTACCATCGGTAAGGAACAGGAACACGACTTAACACTTACCTGCAGTTTGAGTCAAATAGGTAGTTTCTGAAAACAACAGGAGCTATCAGGTTATGCTGCAGGAAGCCACTGAAATTGTATAGGAAATTGAATAATTGGCAAAGAAAACGTAATTAGTTTTAGATTTGTTCAGATGACGTGCGCGGTCCTGTTTCACCTCGGTGTGACTTGGAGTTTGTCACCACATTGACACTTTTCACATGTTTGTGCTCACAGCAGGTCCACTCATCCTCCTCAACCACATCTATCTTTAACAAACTGGTCATTTTATGGTCATAACATGTATGATAACACCTGCTGCTGTAAAAAAAATAAACATGCTGTAAACATGATTATCATGATGATGATGATTTTTATTTTGTGTGTTGTAGGTTGGTTTGCCAAACCCTCAAATGCAAACTCTGAAAAGCACCAAGATTTGAACAAAAATCTGAGGGAGTTCTTGGAGGAAATGCAGACGGACCAGATCAGAGAGCATCTCAGGTATTTAAAAAAACAAACCTCACTGAACCTGAAATGTCCATTAGTTCCTTCACTCTGAAGCAAGGGGAGTATACTTTAGGAGACCGCAGGTGCCAAAATGCTCCATCTACACCAGTGATTCCCAACCAGGGGTATGTGTACCTCTAGTGGTACGCGAGCATATTACGGGGAAAAATTTCCCAGGTGTGTAAATAAATTAATAAAAATGGGACTGGGAAGTGTAAGTACCTATGATTTCCAAGACAGAATTGTGAAATTAACAAAACAAAATGGAATCCATCATAAAACGAGGAATCTCACTGAATTTGCTCATTTGGGCGAGTTTCTGATGTATTTTGGACAATAAAATGTGTTTTGGATGCTTCTTCCTGTACCTGTACACTTTAATCTTTATTTAGTTACTTATTCACTTTTAAGGCAATATGTTTTTCTTTATGTTTAATTTGAATTGAAAAAATAAAATGCATTAGCATTAAATGCTCTATTTAAGGGGGTTTAAATAAATAATTTTCATTTAATAATCAGTTGTTGTACATTATAGTTTTGAAGAATCATCATTACGTTTGACAGAGGGGGTACCAGTGGTATGACAAAATGGCTCAGGGGGTTCACAAGTGGAAAAAGGTTGGGAACCACTGATCTACACTATAAGAGAACAAATATCTCATTGTCCATTTCTGTTTGTTAGACAGACAGAAGCGTGTCTATTGGGAGAAAACCAATAAACCCTAAAGTCAGAAACAACCGTGGTGCCTAATGCTGGTGTTTTATTCCCCGACGGCTCTGAGGCCTCACGAATCACATGAGTGTCAGGAACTCGTCTTCTTCGCAGGAAATTTACTCGCCTCCCTCATCTGGCTGGAACGGAGCAGAACCGAAAATACGCGGAGCAGATCCAGAACGAGTGGCTGGAGTTCGGGTTGGACTCGGCGGAGATGGTGCCGTACGACATCCTGCTGTCCTACCCCAACAAGTCCCAGCCAAACTACATCTCTGTAGTGGACCAGCGTGGCGAGGAGGTAAACATCTGCAGGGACATCTTCTAAATTAGTCGTGTTCATGTTAATGAACTGCCTGTTAGCAAAATATCTCATGAACAACTGGTTAAATTGTTAAACTTTCAAGAATTAATCCTTGGATGTTCAAGATGTTGCCACAGTTAAATGACCTCATAACAAAAACTGTTATGAGTCTGTTTTATAGATATTTAGCTAAAATTTGGTGTCAACATAGCCGAGAGTCATTCACAACAATTAAAACTTTAGCTTTAGCTTTTGGAGTCAACCCCATTTATCTGGTAGTAAAATATATTTTCCGAGCCACTGGATGGATTTTAAGAAACCTTTCAGATAGTATTCACTGAAAGTATATCTACAAACCTTTGGAGCCAACCCAGTTTTAAATGGCCACCACAGCTGATCAACATTAACCAATGCAAAAATGTCTCTAACTCAGTCAGTTTTACAAATATTAGGCTAAGCTTCGATGTGGTATTAGCTGAGAATCATATACAGTACATACTCTGAACTTTTTGTGATATTGTATGAAACATGAAGTTTGAACTTATAGCTTCATTTGTCAACCTAAAATGATTTTAGTCATATACTCAGATCCTTTTAATTTATATGTGCATCTTGGGTGTAATTTGCAAACATTCAGCAACGCTAACCTAATTTCCCACCTAACGATCCGTGAAGGAAACACTTCATCCCCCTCAGCTCATGCCCTTCTCTGCAGTTTCACAGGATGCAGATTTTCTCACACACTTGAACAAAAACCTTTATTCAGAACAAACTTTCTGCGTGTTTGTGGAGCTAACAGAGTTACAGGCTGCATGTGGAGTTCACAGAATCACACACCTCTCCAGGCTATCTCTCTCTCTCTCTCTCTCTCTCTCTCTCTCTCTCTCTCTCTCTCTCTCTC